AGTGTTTAATTAAAGCATGTGGCTTGCTATTTATTTTATCATGTCATCTGTTACACATAATGGCATTGCAATACACATGAAATTTTCTGTAGTGTTTATTTAACATTTCAGCTATATATTTTCAATTTTAGTTTATGAATTTAAAATATGTTAAAATACCAATTCAGATAAGTCAACAGAACACTTTAGTCGATATATATAATTTCAAAAAAATAGTAGTTTTGATTTTAACCTATGAAACACTTTTAAACATTCAGTTCCTTCCCCCCCTAATTCCAGCTTGAGATACTTGTAAATATATAGCTTACTTTTTTCCTGGTTCCAGTTTAGAAGACACTTCTAAATTTCTTGATTTCTTCTCTAATTTCAAACTATGAGACACTTCTAAACTTATAGGTTTTTTTTATTCCATAACAAGTTCTTTAATTTATTCAACAAAAATTTTATTCCAAGAAATTAATTTTTAGTTACATACATCTTCAAATGTTTAGTATTTTGCTTTTTAGTATATGTTGTATACTTTTATAATAGCACTTTTAATATGAATATAAAACTAAAGCTCTCATAAAACATTGATCTTCTATTAAGTAACACATATTAATAATATAAACTAGTACGAAAAATAAAATAAACAACAGATTAATTATGTTAAGTTGAACAAGACTTTTGATGCCACTTTCCATATGGAAAAATTAAATTAATAAATTCTATTACTATTTTCACAATACTAATATGAAAAAAGTTTACAATGGGTCCCAGAAAATGAGGTATTATGTAACGATGGATGGTTGTTTTAGAAATCTTATTCCTTCGTACTCCAAGTTTCGTAGGTACACTAACTCTGTATTCAATACCCAGACTGCGTTTTCATGATGTAGCCACTTTTGCAAGAGGATTTTCTAAATATTCTGCTAAGGCTTTCGCTTTTGCTTTCAGAATTCCCAGACCTACACTTTCCTTGGCTTGTACACACAACAACAAGTTGGAAGATTAGTCATTGTAGAAGTGGCTTTTTTTCAGGAAAAAATCAGATAATAGTTAAAACTCATTACAACTAACATGATGGAAGATTAGTCATTGTAGAAGTGGCTTGAAAAAAAAAATCAGATAATAGTTAAAACTCATTATAACTAACATGATAGCCACTTCTACAATGACTAATCTTTCCTGAAAAAAAAAATCAGATAATAGTTAAAACTCATTACAACTAACAGATAGCCACTTCTACAATGACTAATCTTCCTTCCTGAAAAAAAAAAAAATCTGGATAATAGTTAAAACTCATTATAACTAACAAGATAGCCACTTCTACAATGACTAATCTTCCTTTCTGGAAAAAAAAAAAATACAGATAATAGTTAAAACTAATTACAACTAACATGATAGCCACTTCTACAATGACTAATCTTCCTTCCTGAAAAAAAAAAAAAATCAGATAATAGTTAAAACTCATTACAACTAACATGATAGCCACTTCTACAATGACTAATCTTCCTTCCTGGAAAAAAAAAAAATCAGATAATAGTTAAAACTCATTACAACTAACATGATAGCCACTTCTACAATGACTAATCTTCCTTCCTGGAAAAAAAAAAAA